TATAATATAATGTAATATAATATTATATTATATTATATTTATGTATATCTATCTCTATCTCTATCTCTGTCCCTATCTCTCTCTCTCTCTATATATATATATATATGAGTATGAGTTATAGTAGTTAGGATGACTCGTCACGTAAGTAGGGTTTCAGGCATTTGCATCGGCCATATGCACTAAGAGCCCTTACTGCCTTGCCGCCAGGCCTCTCCTAGTAACCAGTCCTACATTCTTGTGCCTCCGAAACTAGGGTTGCAATTGATTGCAAACCAAAGCAAACGACACGGTTCAGAACAAGTTGATCGCGTGTGACGAAAAAAACTTGACTTTGAGCTTTCACGCGACGACAAGCCCCAACCAACATGTCAAGCTGCGCTTGCTCAGGTTGTGCATGTACGGCCGAGGGGTCGAGCAGCGGCCGGGCTTAAAATTAATGTCAGGAGCTTGGGGCTCAGGGTTGCTAACTTTCGTTTGTGTGTGAGACAGCCCTGCTTGTCTCCTTCGGGAGGTCCATCTGTCAGCACGAAGACCGCGCTGAAGGAACGGCGACCCACAGTAAACTTGCCTGCAGAAATTTGTTGAAATCTCAGTTGTGACGTTGTTTGCTGTCGACAGGCCATGACAGGCCTTTGATGTCATTGGCAAGCCAATCCCGCCCCACGAAGCTTGTCCGCCGAGAACACAAATCCATCAATTGCGAAGACTCCAGTCATCTTGCAGGCCTTGAGTCGTTGCCGCATTGTTGCCAGCTGCAATCTTGCGTGAGATGTGGAGAACGGTTAGGAGTGTAGAACGATGTACCCCCGCAGCGAGTGAGTGAGGTCTTGAAGATGGACGGCTTGGCAGCTTGTCTTTTCCACAGTGACTTCAGTGCTGCGATGCCAGCTGCATGTGCGATGTTTCTGAATGCCACAAGAGAGCGACAGAAAGACAGTGGGTCCGAAACCTGTGTGTGAAGAATCACGGAGGCGGGCCCCTAGAGGCCAGGGGGCTTAAGACGCTCCCTATGCCCTGTAGAAGAAGAGAGAGAGAGCGTGTGAGCGTCTGCCTGTTGAGAATGCATTGACCCAGGCCTTCCCAAGATCTATTGGAAACACGCCGAACAAATCCTACAGACCCCGGCGGCCCTAAAGCCGTGTTCGCTTCACGCGGTGAAACGGAGGCCCCATCGACGCTCTACACCGTGGAGGTGAGTGGCGCCAAACTCCTGGTCGACCGATGCAGCTTCCGCACACTGCCGGCTGGGGGCTGGAGGCCTTCCTTCTGGGAGCTTCGGGCCTCTACTCGACTTCAGAAGCTTTCCAGAGAGATCAAGTTTTGCTGGCAAGCCTAAGTCTGAGACCGCGTTGACACGAGGTTGGGAGAAGGCGGAGGCCGTCGTTCACCTTGCTTCGCCGTCGCCAGCTGCAACTGTGTCTACGAGACCAGGAAGCGAGGCGCTGCCTAGCCCCGCCTCCTGAGATTCCTGTGGTCCTGAGATCGCTTAAAATGGGGGGAATGGGGAAGCCGCGACGTCCCGATGTCAGCACTCTGCAGGTGTCTCGAGACAAGACCTCTGGGCAAACCTGAAGCAGCGGCTCCAATCGGGCGTCCCCGTGGACTACATGCTTCATCTAGGCGGGTGATGCGGCCATCCGCCAGAAGACATCACTCTGTTAGGTTCCTGAGTTGCAATGTTGCGGAGAAGCCGGATAGTCGGTGTTAGCAAGAGGGAAACTGCAGTCGTTATGCGACTTTTTTCCATGGTGTGGTCGCGCAGGCGATAATGTATACATGGACAGCGACTGGCATCTCATCGAGTCGGGCAGCATGGAACTTGAGGCACAGCTGCTGGGTCGAAAGCAGGTTCGTTGAGAATTGCAGGACTCTCAACATATGGCATGTGATCGAAATTCCAAAGGGATGCCGCTAGCAATACCAAGTGATGGACAGGAGCAAAGGTCAACTAAGTGCCTCTTGGGTTATCGCATCGTCATTCTGGCAGTTGGCTCCTCGTGAGGATTGTGACGACGACTGCAAGTGGGGAGTTGCTCGGGACTGGCTCCTGAAGCTGAACGACCCGTCAAAGTGGAGCCAGCACGAAAAGGAGATCGAGGAGCTTCGGCCCACTGCGAACACGTTCAGGGTTGGGCCTTTCAATTGACTGTTGCTGCCCTGGAGGAGCACTTCCGGAACGTTTACCGCGAGACCTGGGGTCGCGGACTCGGTGGCCATACGGCACTGCGACTATCTGCGACTGTGAGCTTTAGAAACTGCGATGTTGCCGCCCGCCGTTCCCCTTGATAGTTGAACGAGGTGGGTGGAGGGGAGTATGTTGCAGAGAACCTTCACTGTCGCACTGCGCAGCAGTCTCTTGAAAACGTGCGAATGTTCTAAATTCGGTCATGTCTCAGTTGAGCATGGCGCCATTTCTGATTCTATTCTGCAAACCAAAGCGACTCTTGATCAGGTCATCCCTGGGTTTTGGCCAATGTGCCAAACCTGATGATTCTTGACGATCACGATATCCGTGGCCTGAAGGAATTCAGATGTGTTCTCAATGAGCCTAGGCTTGCAAAGTGCGACAGCCTTCTGGACGCAGTGCTGCACCAGTGAATATGTGAGCAGATGTGAGCAGAGTCACGCATACCGTGGATGTAAAAGCGCGCATGTGTGTGTGTATGTATGTAGGTATGTATGTGTGTATGTATGTATATGTATGTATATGTATGTATATGTATGTGTATGGTGTACGGTGTGTGGTGTATGGGTTTGTGTATGTGTATGTATATGTCTATGTATATGTATATGTATGTGTATATATAGATACATATATATATGTTCACATATGTATGTATGTATATATATATATATATGTGTGTGTGTGTGTTTGCGCGTTTTTTCACGTGTAAACAAAAAATACACACGTGAATACACATGCTCACATGTGTGTACATGTACGTGTAGACGCCATAGGATAGACTAAACTAAATAAAGTAGGGGCCAAGAGAATGCAACGCAATACAATACACTACACGAGAATGATACAAATTATGCTATGTTTATTCATGCCATACGCTACAAGACACGACGAAACCAGACATTACAGTAGACTATTACGTAACGGAATATAGCATGATATTTTATGATGGTACACATAACACTACCTTATATGGATCACACTATACAGTAAATTTAATGTAGCGGAACATGATATGTTATCGTGTACAATACGATGTAGTATAGTATAGCGTGTAATATGACATTATGCAATGTTTTACAATGGCACACAACCGAATATGGTGTAACATACGGTCATATCTTGAATGATATGAGACGTTGCCATGTGACACAGTATTGTGTTGATGCGGGCATAATACAGCATAAAGGAAATACTGTATGGCACGAAAGACTGTATACCATTGCATAATACAATACAGGGCAACATATAACCAGTATGTATCAATAAATAAAAGTATATATATATATAGAGAGAGAGAGAGCGAGAGAATGAAGTAACGCAGTATACTGTTACAGTATACTAATGCGATGCACTGTAAACACAGTAAAAGACAACATGTAGCAAAGTAATATAATAAACTAACTATACCATATAGTATATATAACATTTTACCATATCACATGACAGTATATGCTACACAAAATATAGTAAAACTGGATGTAATAGACTATATCACAGAGTCAAAATGCAATGTGATAGAATAGCATTTAGAAATTCTACAGAAATAGGGCGTAACATTAATGAGTATATTGAGTTCAACATCATCTAACCTAGCATAGCATAGCATGATACGATACAATCTGAACTAAAGAAACATATCGAAATCCAACCCCATGAAATTCCCCGCGATGTCATGCTGTGCTGTATTGTACGCACTCGGAAACATGGGTGTGTGTGAGCGAGAATATATGCGTACACGTGCGTTTTGGCTGCTCATAGACCTTTGCCGAGTGCATCCATGTGCCAGAGTATGCATGTGTGCGTGTATGTCGATACGCAGCATAACGTTATGGACTCTCCGCGCTTGTCCTTCATACGGTATGCACTCTGCACGGTTGTGCATACTACCCATGCATGGAAACAAAACACAAGCACAGACACCGTAATCAATGGATAGTTACACGTCTAGATACATATATATATATATACAGAGACAGATAACCAGCACCCCACACTTGCACGCGAAAGTTTCACCCTTGGTAGATGTTGGAGTCTAAGTTTTGGAGCCTCGAAGGAACTTCCGGAAGGGTCGTTTAAACGGCAGAGAGACTTGCGCTAATATCTTGGAGGGAGTTGGTGGCGCTGCTGTGGGCAAGTGCAAGGTGATGATTGGGGAGACCGGCCCGAGGACAAGCAAAGCGAGTCTGTCGACAGGCCGTTTCTGGAAGCGAGGGCATTGTGGATGAGCGGTGTTCGGCAGCTCGTGCATCAAGCCCGACTAGTCTATCGTTCGAAGGCCTTGATGTTAGCATAAACTATAGCTCCTGGAGTCACACATGCAGCAGGTTTTTGGGTGAAATCGCCTATCGCATCTTCAACTCCTACCAGCGCCTTCTGCACGAGGATCCTGTTCAGCTGCCAGACGGAACGAGCTGCGAACCAGAATTCGATTATCATATGCAGCTTGTCTTAACAAAGTCAGATTTCGCTTGGATGGAAAGCCGAGCCAGACTCGACTTGACAGCGCTGCTTGCGAAGGCACGTCTTCGGAGATGTGGGCTTGCTTTTCGTGGACGTCCGTGCCTGCAAGACTTTCCACTGGAAAGAGTCGGAGGCCTGGGTTTGCGAAGCCTGAACAAGTACCGGGCTTCTGTTACATCGGAAGTGTTGGTCCGGTGTGTTGTCGAAAATTCTGCGAGCGGAAAGGCATTGATAAACGGCAGCAAAGGAAACAAGCAGAAAAAAGAAGACTTTGACTTTGGCAGTTCGCCTCGTGGAGCATACGATGATACATAGCACATGTACCAACACGTTGCAGCTTACCGGCAAAGCTTGCGCAATGTCGTTGGGCAAACCCAGTTACGTGCTCTCTGCAGTGCCATGGATAAACACCAAGATCCGCAAAGCTTCATGTGTTGTTACTTGCTGGAGAATATTAGTGTGGCCAGCATCTTTGCGTGTATACCAAAGGGCGAATTTCTTGCCCGTGGCGCCCTCTCAAGGTGTTCTGGGAAGTAGGAGTAGTGGTGGTAGTAGTAGTTGTAGTAGTGGTGGTAGTAGTAGTAGTAGTAGTGGTAGTACTAGTAGTAGTAGTAGTAGTAGTAGTAGGAAGAAGTAGTAGGAAGTAGTAGTAGCAGTAGTAGTAGCAGTAGTAGTAGTAGTAGTAGTAGTAGTAGTAGTAGGAAGTAGTAGTAGGAAGTAGTAGTAGGAAGTAGTAGTAGGAAGTAGTAGTAGGAAGTAGTAGTAGTAGTAGTAGTAGTAGTAGTATAGTAGTAATAGTAGGAGTAATAGTAGTAGCAGCAGCAGCAGGGCCCAGATGCCTCCTAACTCGTCAGTCAGTAAGTTCGCCCGCCCTCCCCCCCACCCCCTGCCTGCCAAAGGCACATTCGGCAGGATGTCAAACTTTCTAGTTTGTTTGTTTGTTTGTGTGTGTGTGTGTTTTTTGTTTGAGAGGGGCGTGTCGGGTGGGGGCGCAAACCAAAAGTAACCGATCAGAGAAGCTTTCCCCTCATAAATCAGCGTGTACCAGTACATGCGTGTATGAATCCAACTAAGTATACAGCTGTATATACATATGTGTATATACACACATGCATACATATATACACAGACATACACACACATACATGCATTCATGCATATACATATACATATACATATACATATACATATACATATACACATACATATACATATACATATACATATACCTATACCTATACATATACAT